ATCATCCTATCTCAGTAATCTGCGTTTGAAAAATAAAAACATATAATATAAACATGAGAGAATATTTAAGAGATAAATTCATATAAATTTAAGAGATATTGAAGAGTACAGGGAGATCGGAAAGGTACTCATAAGGAGAACAAAGGTGTCGGGACTCTGATGGAGACATAACGGAGTTAAAAACGACATTAAAGAAAGGGAAAGATAAAGCGATATAGTAATCTCTGAAGCAGGTGCTAGTGAAATTTCTGAAAGGTGTGGCCAAATTAATGGCTAAATAGGATAGTAGTCCAGTGAGACAAAGGTTCTGCTTCGGATATAAAACTGCAAGCAGATGGGTGAAAACGATAGAAAGGATTTTAAATTGATGTTACTAATAAATTATGGCAAAATCACAAGTATATATGTGCAACATTTGAATAAGCTAAATAAAGAATGAAAGATATCATCGGCTGATGAAGCCTTGGATTTTTGATATTTTGGGACTGCTCTGATACCAAAATAGACTATTTTACACATTATTATATAATACATATTTCGGATCATTCCCAACAGGGGATGTTAAAGAATAAGGCGAATTGGTGGATTGACGTGGTGGGAAAGAATAATGGAGATTTGCTAAAGTCTGAAAATAGGATTCAGAGGGTTGCTAAGGAATGTTGAAGGAATAAAAATGAACGAGGCGAAAGCAACTTCGGCCCTTCAACTACTCTTCTAACATAGTATAACATAACTCGAATATCCCATAACATAAAAAAGAACATCAGATCTTGGATGACGTTCGAGGAATCTGACGCACAATAATTGAAGCACTATAAAAGCCAAACATCCATGCCTTTATTCAGCTATATTCCATCATTTAAGAAATATGAAAAGACATAAAAAAACATACGAAATAGTTGTTATCACCACCGTTAGTTAATTAGTTACTAAAGTTAGATTTAATATTTTTGTTATCAAAGCAATTTTTTGATATTTATCAATAATTTATTATTTTAAAGCGAAATTCCATCATCAATTGTTATATGCTTTTTGATAATCAATATAGATCGATAAATAAATAATAAAAATAAAATTTTTTAAAAGATATTTTGCAAATATGAACTAAAAAATTTCATTGAAATAATTCACGAGTGAAAAGCAAATTCCAAATTTTAAATTCATTTTCTCATGGTAAATAAATTATATATTTACTACCAATTACTTATTGATCACTTCGAGTAATTCTGGTTATAAATAATTATAAATTAATTAAAAAATAATTTGATGTATTATTTTATTTAAGAGCATTAACCATTATTGGTTAGACTCGCTCCACTGGATCGTCTGACTAGAGCAATATGCCAGGCGATAGAAGTAGAGATGAGCTGTCAGCACCACCTGGATTTTAGCTTTACTTCTACCGGGAATAGAATTTCAGCATCGGCGCTCCGAATTGAGCACAACCCATTGAACCATTCTATTCTCCTTTTCCCCATCAGCATCGCCCGACGAGGAATGGTACGTCAGATTCGAATCCAATCATTCTCAGTAGCAATATTTTTTCTTCGCATCATTTGATGTATTATAAATAAAACCGAATTGAAACCATATCATAAAATTATTTTAAAATCACCTCTACATTTGACAATATGAACGACAGAAAACATATTTTATGACTAATGCCATGTAAATGCTGATCGCTGAGTTAATGAAATTTGTAGCATTTACATAATACATAAATGATCGAATCAATTTGCTATTTCCCGTAATTTCTATTTTCGACAAAAAAAAAAACAAAAAAGGGTTCGTTATTACCTGAAAACGAGTTGGCACCAAGTATAGCCTGCAGGCTAGCAATGTTTTAAAATGAGCTGCAGTTAAAAGTTAATTCGCATATATTTATTTATTCATATAAAAATTTTAACATGACGTTGCCAGAATAATAAAAGCACCACAGAAATAAAGGAGAAATAAAGGAGAAGAGAATATGCGTAATGATAGTACCATTAATGCCAGTCAAATGCCAGTCAAATGCAAATGCAAACTGCATTAAACTGCATCTACCATTAATATTGGAAAATAATTTCTTGTAAATAATATATAATATAATTAGCTTTCTTTTAAAACTATTAAGGACTTAATTTATTTCCATAATGGGTCCCATAAACGAATAGAGTAGAGAAACTTTAATTCGTTACAACTTATTACATTTTAAAGTGACAAGTTGACCATTCAAATAATTCAAATTTTGTGAGCGAATCTTCTTAATCTTCTTAAACTATAATTTGAATTCGTCCTATAATTTTTCACAGTAAAATGCTCAACAAAGTTTCGAATTTCTCGATTTCTTAAACCCGAAAGGTTCGGTACAGATCACTTGGAGATAAAAGCACAAATGTTCTCAACACCGACTATCCTGATTCTTATTTGATAGAATATTAATAAAAAGTGGTGGAATACTGCAGTTTTTCGAAGCAATATTACCTCACTCGATAACTGGTTTTAACAAACAATGGAGTGGTGTGCTAAAGGAATAATTAATGAGATTCTGGGGGTTTAGGATTGTAAGAAGAATTTTCCTCTACTGCCATGCCACCCTTTGCAATTTTATGATTTATAATTGTAAGTGTATAGTTTAACGTGGCACCAAGAGCAGAAAATGGAAATGAGTGGTTTCGAACAGAATTCACGATGGTTGAAGTGGTGCAGGCAGAAAATCCAGAGTGGTAGAGTGGAAGTGCTTTCCAACACATAAATCATTTCAGCAGAAAAGAAATTTAATTGCATTGCGACACTACTTGGCTGATTACGATTTAAAGATCTTTTACTGTCTGATAATTTCAAAGTTTATGCCAACAATGCGTTGCTTGACATCTGCTTATCGCTTGATGGTTTATCGAACAATTTCAGCATTTCATCGAAAACGAGAGAAGCGACTTTATCTGACTGACTAATTCTTCGTTGGAGTGGTAAAAAAATATTTGCTTCGCTATAAACAAGCGGCTTTCATGAATAAGCCCGTTATTAAATGAAAAAGTAGCCCATTCAGTTAGTGGAAGCAAAAGAGCATTAAAAACTCAGAGTAGCCAAGACAACAAAAATATCTGGCAATATCAGCAATAGGTGTACCATCACCTTTTTAGTAATGGGGGAAATATTTGCAGAAATCACATATAACGTGTGTTCAAAAATGCAAAAATACTATCACACTCACACTCAGTGCAGTGTTTTACGATGAGATCTGATCTTGATGGAATTTCGTTATTCGTAATCAAAATTCGCAGGCTTCTTCTTCGCTCTCCAATATTTTTTAGTATATCGCTGGATTTTAAAGATCTTGTCAACGAGCCATAATCAAATGTAATAGAACAAGTAAGAAGTTTATGGCAATCACTTGAGAATGAAAGCATAAGTCACCACTAGGACTTTAAACATTTCACTCCATATTTTATTTTAATCGTACTTATCATGGTCTGACCTTAATTTAATGTAATATATTACTCGATCTCTTGACTCAAATTTAATAGAATACTATAGAAAAATATATCAAAAAAAAAGTTTATATAGCGATTTTGATAAAACACTGAGGGAGGCTTCGAAAAATATTAAGAAGATATGGTAGATCCTTGAACTATTTAGGAATTATTGACATGAAACGTTATACAGCATCTATTATTAAGTTAAGGCAAAACAACAAATTACATAATTTTCAAGCGAAATAATCGAATTAGGGTAAGATACAAATGGAATATAAAGATGCTTGGGAAGAATTATGACGGAATTTCGAAAGATTTTGGAGAATACAACGTACATCATTATTATATGACTATCTATATAAAAGTTTTAGAAAATGAAATCGAGGTCAAAAAATCGGGTGACTGTTGAGGACTCATCTGTACTTCACTAATGGTTCTGTGGTGAAAGGGTCTAATCACCTCGACGCTCGAACTCTTCAACGTGCACAATACCCCTGTATCCCAAAGGTATACGCGATAAAGCAATCCAGGCTTAATAAAATGAACACAAGGAAAATAAAATGAAGATAATGATAACTATTCGAAACGGTCAATTGAAACAAACATCCGTCAGCTTCTTGCATATTAATTCTATTAATTAATTAATTAATAAAACAGTACTCTAGAGGGTGACAAGTATTCCGAAGTTCATTCGACTCATTAAGGCATTCCTACTAGTGTATCACCACAGATAGGGGAAATTTAAGGAACTGATGGATCCTTTCGAAATAAGAACTGATCTCAGTTAGGGGTGCACCTCCTTTTCTCGATAATATTCAACTATGCGAGTGGATGAAAGATACTTGGACGCTTGGACACTTAAAAGATAAGTACAAATCCAGATTTGAGTAAGATGATGATGGAGATCGAAGCAAAGCAAAAATCGAACTCATGATCAATATCTGTAATAATAAATTTAGAAAAATTCACATTCAAAAAAAGATCAATAATAAATAAAAATTTATTTAAATTTAAGAAACAGAATTTAAAAAAATGAACTAAAAAAAGCGACCCGTGAATAAAAAACGATTTATACATATATATATAATAAATACAAAGGAGATAGAATGGCTCAGGGTGTTGCTCAATTCATTTCAATTTGCCAATGCTGAGGTTCTATTCCTCGCAAGAGTAAATAAATCTCCCAAAAATCTGGGTGATGCTGGCAAATTACTATTTCTATCGCCAAGGGACTCCTTGGCATATTTGTCCAGTATGGCAAGCCAGCGGAACGAGTTTAACCAGTAATGGAGTGGATCTTAAAAAAAATATAAAGAACATAAGGATTATCACTTTACTGAAGTGAAAAAATCACGTATGTTCTTTTGTTTCTTAGGATGTTCATTATTTTTGAGCATATTAGACTGTGGATAACTCGATCCACGTTTTCTTGAATTATTACCATCTGTTACTAATCCTTTGATTTCTCCAATTGTCACCCTGTAAAAATGGTTGATATAAATATTTTCCCTAAGGAAAACTTATAAAGAAACTAGTTTAAAATTACCAGTTAAGACATTCATCTAAATGCCGATTGAAGCTTAAGAGATCATTCGGAAATGAATCAGTACACACTGGACAGTACAACATCACTTCTATTCCAGCATCACTATTGTATTCCGATTCTCCACAACTCTGCTTAGCAGCCAAATCATTATCATTAATATCGTGTATTAGCGAAGCAATATCATCAGGCACATTGCTTCCTTGTGGATTGCTGTCTTTGACAATGGGCCAGAAATTTTCCAAAGATTTTTTCGAATCAATCTAAATTAAAAATGAATAAATCAACAATTAATCGCCAAAAAACATTTTGAATGTGTAAATGAAATGATCAAGTGGATTTTATCACAATAAATTGTTCTGAATTTGAAATAACCGCTCTAATAATTTAACTCAAACGATCATTTTCAAGTAAATGTTAACAAAAAGAAGCAATATTTTAATTAGAAAACTTCGACCAAACCTTGTCATTATCGAAAACGAGCTTTGAAATGCGCACACCAAGTAGCCTTACTTCTTTTTTGTCGTGGTTTAGCTCATGCCTTAACATCCTTTCGCAAATCGCATATAAAATTTCGACATTGTTAATTACATAATTCACACTGAAAAAGGAAATCAAATGAAATAATTTTTTTCGGTAAGATGATGCAACTTCCAAGCAATTTTTATAAAGTCTTTAAAGTGATAATTCCAAGTAATTTTATCCGAACATATGATTCTATGCAGAATATTAAAACACAAAAATAACGAAAAGAGAAATCGAGAAAATTTAAAAAAATTAGTAAAATGTGCAATATAAAATATATAAATTGGTTTCAACTCATACCCATTATATTCAAAAATGTATTATACGCAAAAATTGACCTGGTACATCGAGTAATTACGTCAAATGTTGAAAATTTTATTTTTAAAGCAGCTGAACGACCACCTTTCAAACAATAATGTGAAAACGAATCGATTAGTTCATTACACAAAGAATTCAAAATCTAAATTTCGATTCCGAGATAAAATTAATTAATTACGATCAAAAAAGAAATAAAGTAAATGATAATCAAGTTCAAACTGCCATCAATCATCTTTGATAGAAATGCAGGGACTACCTTGAAATTTTTTGTTCCTAATGAGAAAATTAAATAAATTACTCAATAAATTTCGAACTTGAAATTTTTTTGTTACTAATGAAAATTTCTAAAACATTTATTTTAATTAAAAAAATACTACATACATCCAAAAGACAAGTAATATCCCTTGTTGCACCAAAGGTTCTTTCCTGGCTAATGCTTTTCCTCCGGCTACTGAATTCTGAAGCAGAGGATGAAGAATGCGATATGCCAAGTGATATACGGAGTAATCCATCCCAACTATGTTCTGAACAAAACAACTTTATTAAAGCGCGCTTATTATACAGATCACCACAACTGTGAATACCGCAACCCTTCAAGATTTCTTCAGTGACCGCGCCAATACCGCTTACCTGTAATCAAATCATTTTATTAAATCAATCATTTTATTTATTAAAGAATTTGTAAACCGAAATGGAGTATAAATTGAATTATAATAAAATTTGCAAAAGTAAATTATTCCATAATTTACAAAAATAAATTCCACAATGATTTTGAAAGAAATATTTTAGAAATATTCTAAATGGTAAATCGCAATAATATCAACACCTTACGAATAGGTAAATTTTGCATAAATTTTAATATTTCATCTCTATCATTTGCTATACGAGTTTGTCCGTTCGGTTTTTTGAAATCGGAACAAATTTTCGCAATCATTGAATTTGCCGCGATTCCTGAAAAAATTCTTTTGGTAATCAATTGACTACTATTTCATTTCTTTCAAATTATTTCAGCTTTCAAATTATTAACTTCATTGCCTTTTTCACTTAATTTAATTATCAAAATTCTTAATTTTTTTTCTTTGGAAAATAATATTACCCAAGAACATTGAAGTAAAATTTTCATATAAATTAAGTTTAAATCTTATTTCATTTTTGGATCTATCTGCAATAAGAAATTAGCCAAAACAAAGTTTCAGATAAGCCAAAAATTGAGCATTTCAATTCATTTGTTCTTTGTTCCCATTTGAATTGATTAACCTTAAAAAGATACGCAAAAGATGACCTACCTGCGCTGCAGGTTAAACCAGTCGCTTGCTCTATCAAAAATCGCATTTCATGAACAATCTAAAATTATTCTTGAAAGTAAGGATGCAAAGCAAAAGCGCTAGCAGCGAGTGGTTTCGATCCACCGACCTCTGGGTTATGGGCCCAGCACGCTTCCACTGCGCCACGCTGCTCCTCTGTCACACCGTGAAGATTTTCAATATATGATTGATTTTAAATATCACAACAACAATGCATACAAATGAAACCAAATTAACGCTAAAAAAAACATTTGAAATTTAAAAACAAACATCCTCTGGATTAGTTCCAAAAACAACTGTGTCAGAAACTGTAATTTCCTTCTTACAGCATTTAGAACAAACATCTTCGAAAAGTTGAACATCTTGTATATTTATCGCACTTTCTGGCACACGTGGCAAACGACAAACACAATTTCCCATAAATCGTTTACGTTGCCTTTCAACTATAAATTTTATATATAATAAATACCTTATTTTTCAAGAAAAAATTATTACCAAAAATTCTTTATATGAAATTGAGTTTACGTAAAAGTAAAACAAAAAGAAAAAAATTTAGTTTTTTGACCTTAGGGCATGCGATGGTATGACTCACATATTTTATAAGACTTTATACATCTTTTATCTTCGAAGAAATTTTATCGAGAACTTGTATATTAATGAGTTACCAAAAAGAACATCATTAAAATCATTAATAAAATAAACCAGAATCGATCCGAGAAGCAACATATTCCGTTATATCCAAATAAGCTTCGTCAAGACTTCCCATTACAAAATTTTTATCATATTCTTTGAATATTTCGCGAACCTGCAAAATATATAATCAAAAATTCAAAGCAAAAATTTGAAAGATTTCTAAACAAACCAATACCTGCTTGCTAGCTTTACGATATTTGTCGAAATTACAAGGAACAATTTTTAACTGTGGACAAATTTTTCTAGCCATGAAACCAGGCATGGCTGATCTAACACCATATTGACGTGCGACATAATTGGAAGTGGACTGCAAAAAAATTTTTGAAATTTCATATCCATAATTCAAATTTGATATAAAATTATTTACTAATACTTCATAACTTTACGTAACTAACACTTTTTGCAGAATCTACCGAGAAAAAGTTGCCTACATTTAAAAAATTTGTCATACTGACACCTCCTTCAAAAATCTTTAAGTCTTTCAGGAAAAAAAAGAGGCAGTATTTGAAATAAGAAAAAAACTAACCAACATAGATTCAGAACCAACTGCCATTGGTATGTCACGTAATGATGGGTTATCTCTCATTTCAACGGCGGCATAAAAAGCATCCATGTCGACGCATACACAAATACGCGTCAAATCTCGAGTTTTTTCCAACTCATTCACGTAATTATCCATCTAAATTATTCGATGGTTTGAAATGAAATTAAAATGAAACTGAAAAAAAGAAACATATATATATATATATAGATTCATATTTATTTTATTTTTTTTAAAATTTATATGAAAAAATCATTTTGAATTTAAACAATTTAAAAACCATTTTAATCAGTGATTAGCTCAAAATTATTTCACCATTTAAGACATTTAAATAAAAATTTAAAAATTTAAAAATAACAAGAAAAGAAGCTAGCAAAATTCATTCTACGCACTTACGGATTAGTTCGATATAAAAGAAGCATACCTCGAATTCAGCTTTCGCAATTTCTTCCGATGTGATTTTCGATAAAATTTTATTGTTGCGTTCGATTTTAGATTGAATTCGAGCATTTCGTTTCTTTATGAATTGTTCATAATTTACACTCGTATTTTCCTTAATAATCTTTTCTATGTGTTCCTGAAATCTAATGAATGAAAAGAAGGAAAATTAAAGGAAGTACTAAGGAACTTGAAACTTTCCAAAAAAGGAATAAAAATTCTAAAGAAAAGAAGCATACTTTATCTGCAGCAAGTAAACCAGCTTTGTTATCATTAAACATCGCTGATAAAAATTATTTGACGAGAAATTTTTTACCTGGGAAAACAACAAAAAATTAAACGAAAATTTAAAAGAAAAAAGGATTGTGCGAAGGAATTTATCAGTTCAAATAAAATCGAAATCTTATGAAATTTCAAAATATTTTTTGACAAATTTATATTTTGGCAGTAATCTGGTGAGGGAAAAAGAAATTTTTGGCGCACTACGGGGATCTATGGTTACAATGTGGTCTCCAAGTTTTCAACAGAACACCGCGAATGCTGAACGTAAATCTGCTTCACCCTACCTCCCCTTCACCCAAAAATAGGTCTCTCCCTGTTCATACTTATTCGAAGACTTTAAATTTTAAACACCGAAGCGCAAGAGCTTTATATAATTTAGCAGCTTCATATTTGCTGAGAATTCAAATTTTAATATTATTATTATTAGTCCAGAGGGTTGCTGCTTTTTCTTTTCTTGCAGCAATGACCTTTTTAGGTCGTGGAACTTGCAAAATATTCTTATGCACAAAAAATGCGATTCTTGCTGGTCGCCTGGAAATCATAATGTGTCGCTCTCAAATATTGTAGATTGCTTCCATTCATAATTGCAGAGAAGCCGAAATTTTAATTGGAACTTGGTTTCCCGATAAAATTCATAGCCTTAGAGTTCTTTGCGATTGACAACTCTTATTTAACCTAATATTTCTATCCAAGTTAGAGTTTTACAACTAAGTGAATTTTCCATTGTTAAAGAAATTAGAGAAAATTAGCATTAGTATTCTAACAATGTTACATGCAGACGACTGGCGAGCGTGCAAGCATGACTTCAGGCAACCTACTTGTTGGACCAACACATGCTTTCGCACCATCGAGTTCTACACCATCTCGTATAAAAACCATTTTCGATGTTTGCAAAGAGAAATTAACCCATGCCAAGGGCTTGCGGTAAATAATTAATCTTAAAAAAGTATTTATGTAATAAAAATAACATTAGTAGTAAAAATAACAATAATAGCACCAGCAATAAATAATAATATTACTGTAAAGATTGATGTGGCTTCAAGCTGTTTCCGACTCCTAAGGACCATATGGATAGATGGCCCCCAAGATAATCTGTTCTAATTTGGTCCTCAAATCAATAAGAGCTGCATCGACTGTAATTGAATATATCCAATTTTTTATAGGGCGCTTTTTTTTTCTTTCCTTGCATCATTCCCAGCAATATATCTTTTTCCAGAGAACTGAACATTCTATTCTCAGGAGTGTTCTCCATCATCGATGCTCTTCCTATTAATAATGCGATAGTAATAGCAATAGTAATAATAATAATTAATAATAATAATAACTAATAATAATAATAACGACAGTTGAGCTTGAATAACACCTCCATGCATAGTGATGTAGTGAAGACGTACAGACGTATCTCCAAGAGGAATAAAGTGGTGTCTCACGAATTTTTTATTTTAGCATTAGCATTAACTACTGGAATAAATTGCCTATCAATGTAGTTACTACAATGTCTAAAAATTTCTGAAAAAAGTTTTTAAAAATTGGTTTAACGATTACCCATAAAATTTATTTAGCGGAAGGCGATTTATAATAATTTTAGTTCTTTTTCTTCATTAACTTTGTACTGTTTTATGTTATGTTGTATGAACTCAAACGCACGGCTATTGCCTTTCTTTATTCTTTTTTAACTAACAAATATGTATTGCTTTGAATAAAAAGGATATTTTTCTAAATAAATTATGCACTAAGTGCGATGGGTCATATTTAACTTATTGTTTGGATGTCCACTTTAGTGGCCATGGAACATATGTCGGTTTTTATTTATTTTTATTAAATCATTTTATAAATGCTCTTTTATTCTATTCGTTTAACTACCGACAATTTCAGAATTCTACTTTTATATAAAAATTTTTATGTTTGATTTTATCACTTTTATTAAACTAATAATCAAAAAGTAAAAGTAAATGAAATGAAAAATTATTGGTTTTATTTTTCTAATCATTAAAAATAATTATTAGGGGATTAATTAAGCGTTTCATAAGGCAAAAAATATTGTTATATTTAATTCCTAAGCTATTGTCTATCATTCATAATTCCAGATTGCAAGGTTCATAATTATTCAAAATTTTAATCCTTATTTATTTTTACTTTATTCAAATACTAATATTTCAGAAAATTATGCAATCGATACCAGATTATTGCCAGGTTATTACAATTATTGGTAAATATTTTTGATATTTTTATTAATTTCTATTATATTTTTTTATATTTATGCTTATTTAAATGTTTATTTCCAAGGTTGTTTTGGATTAAGGAAAAATTTTTTATAAAGCAAAATCATTGAATTTTGCAAATCCGTTGAAAAATTTTTACAATGTAAAAATTATAAAATTGGAAAAAAATTTAGTTCACATTGATTTTAAGAAATATTTTAAATATATTTTTATTTATTAAAACTGTTGTTTAAGCAATATTAATGATTAAAAATTGATAATAATAATAATGATAATAATAAATAATAGAAGCAATAATAATAATAAAAATAAATTCATAACAGTTTCTCATCTTGCCGATGAAATATTTTAGATTCTAAAGGTAAGCAAAAAGATATTTTATTACCAAAATCGTTGGATATTTATCGTCCTAAACGACATCGAACAATATTTAACAAATTTCAACTGAATGAACTTCGAAAAGAATTTCACCGAAACCCATATTTGATAGGAGAAAAACGTTCTTTGCTGGCGAAAAAACTTCATTTAACTGATATTCAAGTTTTTCTTATTTTTCAGAAATTTTTAAAGCATTTATGAAAGTAAATTTATCATACGATTTAACCCAACGATTTAACCATTTTATATTTAAATTAATAATTTTTTTATTAAGCAAAATTAATGATTCAGAATAATAAATTAAATTATGCTTATAATATAAAATCTTATTTTTCTATTTTAATATTTTTTATATGTGCCATGCAAAACGGAGTGGAAAATTACCAGTTAAACATCACTTCACCTGTAAATTATTTTATTTCATCATACAGCATTTTCTGCAAAAGAAAATCTTTTTTTAACGGATTACTCTAAAGTAGTTTCGAATTTAACTAGCTCCACAGACCAATAGAGCATTAATGAGAATCTTCTAGCACGGAGTTCCTTTAAATGGTAGATTTAGACCCATGAACGGAGAGAAGTCGAAGCATATTTGCTTTAGCTGAGCCCGGGCCATTGAACCAACTTATCTCTAAGAGGTATTCGAGTGAACTACAACATGCAACACGTATATCCTCTTCACCTAGTTCCTGTTTACTGAGAATTTGAGATCATTGTAATCATCCCGATCTCATTTCAAATGATGGATTCAAATTGTTTTATAAGTCAAGGGACCAGGATTGCCCCCTATGCTGACTGCCTTCATATATTAATCGAATCGATACAAGAACTGACCACCTATCTCCTATATATTACTCTTTAGGTGAAAGTGTGGTTCCAAAATCGCAGAACCAAAGATAAAAAACATCCAAATGAAAATAAATCAATGAAAGAAAGGTAAAAAACCTTTGAACCACTCGCTATTAGCAGAACCTCCCATGACATATCAAAAACTTTGTCCTAAACCTATTTAATAATACCTGAAAAAAATTTTTAGCTTATGTTCAAAATTATTGCCGGCTGGTAGCGATGAACGAAGCGACCAAATTCAATTTTCAAAGGAATTATTGGTCGGGAATTATGTTCAAAACCCATTCGCATGCATATCGCCTGCTGACTGTTTCCGCTTCTCAAATTATTTTTTCAACGATGAATTACTATCTTTTTGCGCAACTGATTATAATTTTCAATTTCCAACGTTTCATTATTATTGACTTTTTTTTTATACCAATTTGCAGTGAATCAAATAAAAATTTAATAGGCAATTTTTGATGGATTTAATTTAAAAATTTAATGATGAATTCAATTCACTTGTTTCAACTGTAACAAAACCCACTCGATTTTGTAAAAATGCAATACTTTTTGTAAAAACAAAAATAAAATTTTCAATAAATTTTTCTAAAAAAATTATTAAAATGTAAACAGTTCCTAAACTATATATATATATATTAAACATTTGAAAATTCATTATCTTTATTTTGTCTTGGGTAATGTTAATTCATTTCAATGCGTAACAATAATCAGAAAAACGATTTCACAAACTGAATCAAAAGCTTTGAAACCATTTTAGCATAAAATAATGAAAAAATTTTAGATTCTGCAGATTTTAAAGGTTAAAAAATTATTGATTTATTTATTCACTTTATTAAAATACTCCTTTGATGAGCTGACATCTGGTTTGATAGTTGGTTCATTTTCCTCCCAATCAGCAGGGCAAACTTCACCGTGTTTCTCAACAAACTGAAAAGCTTTCAAAATTCGCAAGGCTTCATCAACGCTTCTGCCAACTGGTAAATCGTTTACCAGAGAATGACGAATTTCTCCATTGGGATCAATTAAAAACAATCCTCTAAATGATGCATTTCGTATTTACCACAGTTTTTTAAAAAGGGCTTGAAAACTTATTTAAAAAATTCACTTAAAGGATATTGTTCAAAATTCGATAAATTAATTATATAATAATATATATTTATACACGACAAACGAGTAAAAAAAAATAAAATAATTTTAATTTATGATAATCTATAATATTATTTAAAAATTATGTAAAATTTTTAAGTGATTTATGTGAACAGAAAGTCCTTTCCTTTAACAAATAAGACTTCCAAAATTTAAGCAAAAATTTTTGTACCTGTAAGAAACACCGAGTTGATGATCTAAAACTCCAAAAGAATCAGCAATCTGCTTGTTAAAATCAGCGAGAAGTGGAATCTAAAGCAAAATAATTAAATGACCTTTCAAAAAAAATTACTGAAATCGATACAATTTTTAAGAAAAAAGAAAAAAAATGGTGAAACGAAAAAATAGATAAAAGGAAACCAATTAACTTATTTTTACTTTTTTTGCTTCATTTACTTTCTTTCGCAATTTTTTTTAAAATACCTCGCCATTACTGGCTAAACTCGCTCCATTGGCTTCTTGCATCAAACAAATGCCAGAGAGCCCCCTGGCTATGGAGGTACAAATAAGTCGCATTTTACTCCTCAGCTTCAGTAGACCGAATTGAGCAATAATCCGCTGAGCTATTCCATACCCCTTCCCCCAAAAAAAAAAAAAATCTTTTGCAATTTATAACTACTCATAAAATCAAGTCATTCTAAAATTTGATAATATGGATAAAATACAATACCTCCATTTTGCCTAGTCCTCCATCTTTTCGAGGTGTATGCGTCCAAGCTAAATGCGAGAAATGCGAATCACATGAACAAGCGATTATTTCAGCATTCAGTTTGCGAAATTCGGGTGAACGATCGCTGAATGCAATTATTTCTGTTGGACATACGAAAGTGCTGAAAACTATTGAGTTACAATATTTCTCAAATTTGTAACTTTCGTGAAGTTTTAAAATTGATTTTGTCAGCAAGTATATCTAAAGACCGAAAAAAATTTCACACCTATCATCGAACCAAGGATCGTTTTGCCACAACAAAAAGCAGCGCCACTGAGCTGCTGCGTTACACGTTAAAGATATCCTATATATAAAAATTTTAAATATTGATAGGGAAGAACCTAAACCAACTAAAACCAAATAATAATCAATAAAACAATTATTTTGAAATCATTGAATATACCAAGAAAATAAAAAATTTAAGATAAAAAAACGCACAAATCTAACGGATAAAAGAAGACGATTAGCCATTTTCCTTTATAATCATCCACTTTAATGGTTTTAAAATCGCCATCGACAACTGCAGTGCCCTAAATTTATTTGTAAAAATTAAGATCTATTAAAGATTAATATTTTAAAGCATAATATGAATTTATGAATATGAATATCATATATAAAGAAATACATAAAGGATAAATATAAATATATATAAGACACAAAAAAATACCAAGAAAATAAATTTAAAATAAACGAGCTTAAGATATATATTTTATCTTTTTTTTTTCAAAGAGTCCGCACCATTACTGGTTAAACTCTGGAGTCCCTTGTCGATAGAAATACAGGTGAGTCGCCAGCATCATCCGGATTTTTGTACCGATTTACTCCTGCGGGCATCAGCATCGGCATTCCCAATTGAGCAACAACCCACTGAGCCATTCTATCCCCATATTTCTTCAATTAAACTGATCACTGCGAGAGAACTTACAGAGAAGCTTGGAACTTTATTTTTCGGTCCAAGTGGTCGAATACCAAACGCAGTGGGGGACGTTGAAAAAAAATTCTGCGGCGTTCGACGAATGACATTTGACGCCGATGAAAACATCGATGACTTAAAAAACATTTTTGTAATCAAACGCCAATAAGAATTATTTCTAAAATTTATCGGAGAATTTTGAAAGCTTTAATTAATTATTTTTCGGGTTAATTTATTCAAATATTTTCAAAAAAATTAGAAAATAAATCGCAAAAATTGTTGAATTAAATTAATAAAGGTGCAAAACTGGAAAACGCCGCTTTCTAAGAAGTAAATGATTTGATAAAACGGAGATAAAATGAAAAAATAAAACTTATCACCAAACGAAAAAACATACCATAAAAAAGCGAAACATTTTGTACCAAAATTTTACCAGTATTTTCCTCTTGAAAATATCTACTGGTGAATATTATCGTTCACAAACTTTCCTTTCAAGAACCTATTATTTAAAATTGATAACCTATTTTAGCCGAGAACCGATTATAAGTGAATCAGTTGAAATGATATAAATGTAAGTGATGAACAGCCTTTATGTTAAGTCGTCTTCGTGCTTGGATATTTCTTCGAACAGCAAAGATTTGATTGATAACGACGAGATTTATTCGCTAGAGGCAGTCAGGAAAAAGACCGTGCAGTTCAGATTTCGTTCCAACGGCGTTTTCTTCTGCTGGGTGCATGAAGAATCGAGACGGCGGCGCTTGAAGTGAAATACCGTTCGACCATATCGCTCGCTCCCTTATATGAGCTTTCGAGCTTTTTGGTTGTCTGCATAGCTCTGGGAATGGATTTTGCTCCAACTCTAATCTAATCTAATCTTAAACGAATGCTTTTCTCTATTCGCTTATTTATTTGTAAATTTAAATACTTAATTCGTGAAATAATATTTTATCTCCGTTTTATATCGTTAGAATGCAATTAAAATTAAAAATATTCTGCAAATTTCACTTATCTGCCGATCAACAGCTGTTATTACAAATAATTATCACTTCTAACGCTTATTATTATTATTATTAGATTATTATTATTGTTATTATTATTATTATTATTATTATTAGTATTAGTATTAATATTATTATTTTCATTATTATTATCATTCTTATTATTATTAATATTAATTTATTAATTATAATTGTCATTTATTGTTGTGTTTATTTTTTATCGAATACTATGTTTATTGTGGAAATTGATTAAAAAACTCTTCGAGAAAAGTGAAACAATATTTATTGGACGATTAAGAAATTATTAATCAGAAAATTAAGAAATTAATCAGAAAAACTTAAAGCTGTGAAATTGGCCAATTAATTCCTTCGCAGAATTCATGCGCTAATAGCAAAAATTTAAAGTTTTTTAAATTTGAAATTAAATTTAAGTTAATTCTTAAAATTTGACGAATTGGCGAATATGATTGCAAATATGAAAAAATTAAACCGCTTTCTCCGTTAAACTTTTGGTATATTTCGATATTAATGAAATTTAGGAATTACGACATTTTTTTCTGTTTTTTAACTGCCATTCGACTTAATTTTAGCGGTCATTCAGATTTAAAAATGCTTCTTCTAACAGCTTGGATTGGCATTTCGATTGAAAGAGTTTGTTGGGGTTAGTTGAGTACCATTCAGGTTCCACTTTTAATAGCAGTCTTATACACTCTTGCCAAGAGACAAGGATCGAGCTAAACGTGTTTGGCTTTTGCTGAAGCAACATATCACTCGACCATCTCTCGTCTTATTTTATATTTGTTCTAAGATATGCATTCCATGAAACTAAAACAATTCTCGTCTAAAATGAAGAAAAGAATTTGAGTCGAATTCATTTACATTTTGTTCCAAGCACTCAAAGAAATTTTTCGGTAAAAAATATTATGTTAAATAATTTTATAAATCGATCTTCAGTGCCCATCCAGTTTATTAACGGAAAAAACTCCACAGAAGCTTTCCATCTCTCATTTGAAATATTCTATTCAATGCATTTTTCTCGATAAGCAATTTATTTTAATGCTAAAAACACATTTTAAAAGTGGATTCGCATAAAAATAATTACAAGTGGGACGGATCTCTCGTCGCATTCTCTTATAACTTTATTTCCCATTTTTATCGAATTCTCTTTGATAAATTGTATCATCCACAGAAGTTTCGCCAATAAAATTTATTAAAAACGCTTCAAACGGAATAAATTTTGTTTCGAACCAGCAAAATCTGTTAGCCTTAAACTTCCACATTAATTAGCCTGGCAAATTCATTGGCTCAATCGTTATCTTTTTTTTAGTAGCATATAAATCACTATTTGATGAATAATCGCTTTTCCAAATGTTTAATGGCGAGAATTTTTCAAAATTTTACAAATTTTTTAGAGAAATTTCCTTAACAAATAATAATTTTTTAGCGGTTTTTGATGGTTGTCCAGTCAAATATCGGAAAAGTAAATGGTATTTCTTACTAAAATAAATAACTGAGCAATTGCTATTATCATTATTATCAATCGAAAATATAAAAGAAAAAAAGCATCGTAAAGTAGGGAAATATAAACTGATTTCTCGCGAAAAATCAAAAACAAGAGTAATTTAACAGATGACATCTTTTCCAGCATATATTATCTTATATTATTAGATAATCTAATATTATTTATTTATTATTTGTCTTAAAACTTTTAAATTCGATTACGCTTTTTTTCATTTATGCAAATTTTTATAAAATTTCTGAGTACAAATTTTAAATGAATGCAATGCACGTTTTAAAAAAAAAGCAACAAATTGGATAATTTTTTATAACCTTAGCGATGATAAACGATAAGCGTTAACAAAACGTTTGCCGTTAGCTGAGTGATCATCTGGAATTTTTAAACTATAAATTCGTATTTATCAGCAAAGATTTATTATCCTTTTTCTTCCCGAATATCGTTTTTGCAAATTTTTCAAATAAATTTTCCAAAACTTATTTTAATGAAAATTTATCGAACACATTATCTTTTTTTCAATTTATTTTTTTCGAATATTTCTTCAGTATTAATTTTAAAAATGAAAAAAAAATTTCATAGCTTTCTTTTTTGCATATTTTAAAGAAATAAATAGTGTTTGAAGGCATAGCATGAGTCAATAAATTTTAAATAAAAATTGAAGAACTGATATCGATGGAATAATGAATATTTATATAATTTATATATTTATATAATTATTATAATTTTCCTTATTAATAAGCCACTCTTGTAAATTGTTCTTCCAGCAGCATTCAATATTACCGGTTGGACTGGCTACGCTCGCTTAGACTTTTCCAATCTGTTCGATCTGATACCATCGCTGATAATAGAAACTATTCCTTTTTCACCGTATATCCACCGTATTTTTATCTATATGTTCCAAATTTTTCCTGGCTGTATCCGTTTAAGACCAAGTCTTGATTTGCTCTCCTCGCTTTTGACGCCATCTATCACAAGATTTGCAGGTAGCGAAATGTCAACCTTTGTAGTGGGCGCTGATGTGTTAACTCTGTGATGTGTTAATACAAATGGCATTGGAGCGAAGATATTTGCCATCATGTGAGGTTTTCATTCTGCATGGCTAATCCCTGAAATATAAGTGGCCAAGGGTAAATAACTTCATAATATCTTCCACTTTTATTTGCCATATCTCGCAGCCATATAAAATTGAACAAAATGTAGCTACATAGAAATGGACTTTTGTTTTAACAGTGATTTCGTGACGGCTTATGAAGGTTAAAATTATTCATAATGGAATATCAGAATAAATCACTGACTTTCTTTTACAATTCACTCCTCAGTCATGCAAATGTATAATTATTTTATATTTTAAATTCGGTAAAACCCCAATTTGAATGTAGAAAAAATAACACAAATAAGATTTTTAAAATTGCGCAGCATTTTTGTGCAATTATCATTATCATTTGAAATAATTAAAATTGATTTTTGATAAAAAAAAAGCAATTATTTGAACAGATTGCTTAACATCGTAAAAATCGTAAGATGCGAGTAATGGATGCTAATGAACTATTTTAAAAAAGACGAAGTTATGAAATTATTTTTTTTAAATTGAAAATCAATATTTGAAAATTATTAACAATATTTTATAGCCTTTTTTTCTTTCTTATTTTAAAAGGTAATTTCTGGAAGAATCTAACAATTTCTAATCGTCTTTAAACCATTTTAAACAATTTAAATAAATCAACTGCTAAAACCTATAATTTCACCAAATTTTATTGAAAAAAAAACGAATTCACTTTCCTTTCTTTCTAAAAAACAAAATTTTTCATAGAGTTCTGTAGAATTAATATCGATGGGATTGTTAATTTGATAAGCTCATTCATTCATTCGATACGACCAAATATATCCAAAAATTGAGCAATTTTGTTATTGATGATTATATGACATATTGAAATTGAGATTGTAACGCAGTAATATTATCGATGAAATAATTTATTTTGATTGTTAAATTCTGCTAAATCTGGTTTTTAATCTTCAAATGTATATATATTATTATTATTATTATTATTATTATTATTATTATTATTATAAATAACATTCATTTTGAATTTGAATTTAAATTGAATTGAATTTAATTTAAATTTATTTAATTTTTAGGGGAAAAATGCAAAAATTTTGATTAATTAACTCGAACATTCTCGAATAAATTTAAAAAATAATTAATTAATAATTAATTAATTGATCGAACCAAAGGACTTATATTTATAATTGCTTGAAATAAAAAGAAAAAATAAATTTCCAATTTTCTAGTTAATTGAAATCTAATAAAAATAAAAAACGCTGAACCATGAAAATCATGAAAGCCTCGATTGGATTTCGAAAAATCGAAATATCGAAGAAAAATCGAAGATTTCCTGGTATTTATTTAATAATGGAACTGCAATTTGCTTCTTTCAAATTTTACCCATTGAACTGAAAAATTTTAATTTTTTATAAAATAATTTTTACTTTGAATTTAAATTAAGAATTATTAAATTTTTAAATTTTGAAATATCTATTATTTATTTATATCAAATTTGAATTTTTTTCAGTATTTCAGAATTTTTGAAATGCGAATGTTTGTGCCATTATGCTGTTTTTTCTTCGAAATATAAGCCATCGACACGATGCCAAAATCAAGAGTATCTGCTTTTAAGCAATATAAAAAATGACTCGGATTTCGTGGATCTCCTAGAAGAAAAAGCGGCAAATTCGATCAGATATCCAGTAATTAAAAAATCCAACCAGAGAGTTTGAATTAAAATTATTTTAAAGGTAAATTTACAGAAGTAGGAAATTTAAAAAGGTATAAATGCGATAATGAAAAAGGAATATAAGGAATATTTAGAGGAAAGAAGTATTATACAGTTTGTGCATATAATA